CGTGAGGGCGCGGCCTGACGGAGGAGCGAGGGCTGGGGAGGGCGGGGGCGCGGTCCGGGCGCCTCCTGCTCGCTGCTCGCGTCCGGAGCCCTCCTCGGCCGGCGGGACCGCGCGGCTTCGTTCAAACGCACTCGTGGAGAGAAGTGCCGGGACGCACAGCGCGTCCCATGGTCCCTTCCCGGCCGTGAGACGCACGCCCCCGGGCGCCACCCCGACGGGCCGGGTGGGCAGGGCCGCGGGGCCTGGCGTCCGGGACGGGTCACCTCCGTGGTGATTCTGGTTGGATTTTTTTCGTAACCCAAATACGTTTTTAATAAAAATGTCATACGTATATATGTAAATAAACAACGATATTGCAGCGAGGGCCCCCGTAAAACATTCGGTTGCTTTGCAGGCTGCTTCGCCAATAAATGGCACTCAATCTGTTTTAAATGCTTGAGATTATAGAAAACTGTTCAAACTTTTCATCAAAAACCAAGTGGGATTTCCCGTAGATGTAACAGACATGCAGATCGATGCAATCTCTGTTCTGAAAGTCCACTCGAGCTGCACAGGGGAGGACGAGGGCCCTTCAGTGCTGAAGCTGTGGTGCGGTCTGCGCGGACAGACAGGCCGCCTTCACCGGATACCTTCTGTCCTTGAGAGGTCAGTCCAGCAAGGCGGCTCATCAGCTAAATCACGTGGGTCAAAACACCTGCTGACCAAACAGATTAATAAATTCAAAGCAGGAATTCTCTCATTATCTTTGCTATCCACTAACAGCCTCACTTCTTGCAAGCTGCCGAATCAGTGAATGAGCCTCAGGTAATAAAGGTTTTCAACACAAGCCAGCAAAGCATAAAGCCGTCTTCCCAACTGTGGAGCGAAGTATCTTTCTCCAAACCAATTACTCAGATATCCCAAGACACTAGTTACTGTTGCCTGATCCATTCTGCTAACAATACTAAGGGGGGAAACCAATCTGTACATCATCGATTCCAGGACTTTGACCTGTAGCTGCTCCGGCATCCCCTTCAGCAGGTAACCTTTCCCCCAATTTTTTCCCAGTCGTCCTCATCTTCAGACTTTGGCATAGTCACGTTGCTCTCCAGCTGTTGGGAATCTCCAGTGACTTCCGTTTGTTCGCACTGCCGAATAGTTGAACACTGTGCTACTTGTTGTTGCCACTGGAGTGTTGGGGAATAACCTTCAGGGGCAGGTTGGCAGGACGTTGTGGCTACCGCAACATCCGACATTGAGTAGCTTCGATCTGGACCCACCTCTGGTATTCCTGAAGAGTCCTCAGGGTACCAAGGGCTGGCAACAGCCAGTGTATTAACCTCCACTGCAGACCGCGCTGATTGAAATTAGAGGATCATTTATTGAGGATGGATTTGAGGGTAGGCCGTTCGAGAGACTGTTAAAATATTGTCAAGATGAGGCAAGGAACGCTAAGTAGTGGGCAAAAAAAAAAAAAAAAAAAAGCAGGAAAGTTGAATTCAAGATATGCTTAGAATGTAAAATAGCAGGAATTGAGGAAATTTGAATATGGAGGCATGAGAAAGAGGGAGGAAACAAGGATTACCCAAGCCACTGCGAAGATGTTAGCACCTTTATCTGGGATACGAAGAACACAGGAGAGGGGAAGATGACGGGCTGAGTTTTGGACAGGTTGAGTTGTCTGAGACAGTTCAGTGGAAATGTCTATCTTTCAAGTGTCCTGCCAACCATCTTAAAAAGTCGGCTGTGAAAGTGGTAAGAAAGGGGGAAAAAAAAAAAAAAAAAAAAAAGCAGGAAAGTTGAATTCAAGATATGCTTAGAATGTAAAATAGCAGGAATTGAGGAAATTTGAATATGGAGGCATGAGAAAGAGGGAGGAAACAAGGATTACCCAAGCCACTGCGAAGATGTTAGCACCTTTATCTGGGATACGAAGAACACAGGAGAGGGGAAGATGACGGGCTGAGTTTTGGACAGGTTGAGTTGTCTGAGACAGTTCAGTGGAAATGTCTATCTTTCAAGTGTCCTGCCAACCATCTTAAAAAGTCGGCTGTGAAAGTGGTAAGAAAGGGCAAAGCTCCAGATTCGTGAGTTCTAATGAAGTCATCACCCCTTGTCTTTTTGGCATAATACAAATCTCTAACTGAGCCTTTTGCATGTGCCAAGTACTGTTCTAAGCATTTTCATGTATTCACTAATTTAATCTTGATAACTATCCTATCAGGTAGATACTGTTGTCCCCATTTTATGTATGAGAAGACTGAGGTACAGAAAAGTACCTTGCCCAAGTTCACACAGGTACTGGCAGAACCAGAATTTGAATTCAGGCATGTTTTGTCAAGAGGTTGAATTTTAACTGGTTTTTCATAGACTCTCAATTTCATCTCCTGTTGGAGTCCAGAATAACTTGACTTTTCGAGCATGGCAAGTCTGTACATTTCCAGACTCATTTCCTTTCATTCTTGCCTGTAAACTGAACTCGTTTCTTGCCAAATGCAGCGGATGGCAAAAGGCACGCCCACATTTAAGAAGTGAATGGACGTTCAGGAGCCTAAGGCCAGTCAAAAGAGGAGGAAAGAGAATTAGGAAGAATGTCAAAGAAGCCAAGGGTACAGGCAATAGTGGAACGTGCGGCTGAGAGAAAACTGAAAAATGTCTGCTGTATGTGACCATTAGGGGCACTGATGAATTCAGCGAGAGAAATCCAGTAGAGTAGTGGGGAGAGGGGTGGAAGTTAGAGTGCAAAGCCGAGGAACGAATGGGACAGGAAAGAATGGAGAATGTCAACTCTTTTGAAAAAAGGGTGAGAAAGGAGAAGCTAAAAAGGTGTACAAGATGAAGGGGAAACAGAGACTGAGTATGTTCATAGGCTGAATACAGGTAGCTAACAGAAGGAAACTGAAGATAGAAGAAAGAAGAGCCAAAGTCCTGGAGGAGAGATGACATGGGATGAGATTAAGAGCAAAAGTGCGTGGGGAAGTTGAAAAGCAGGGGGTGAGTTTCATTTTCTAAATCTATATGGAAGGCTTTAAGGATGGGAGCCGGAGAGAGCCCAGGAACAACTGACAAGTGATTGATTCATCTCAAATACTCCTTGGACTGATTAGGCAGCAATAAAGTTTGTGTTTCCAGACGGATATAGTGAGTGTAGCAGTGTAGTCAGAGAGACAAGATGGTGTCCAACGTGGCTGGTGATACCCAGAAAGAAGAGAGTACCCACATACAGACGACCAGCTTACCTCTCCACTCTTACTAAAAAGTGTCTGGTGCAACATGCAGGGGCAGCTACCACCATTCTGAGTGGGCTGGCCAAACAGATGCAACAGAGGACCTGACAGGATGTCTCAATTACAAAAGGTAGGTGCCCCACAATAACCAAACATTTGAAGACTGCTACCTCCATGGAAGTGAGATCACAGAGACAACAAATGCAACTCATGCCTAAGGAAAAAAGTTAATAAAGCTGTCAGAATAAGCCTCCAGTAGAGAAACAGCTGCAGGGGGATTAATGAATATTTTATCAAAAAAAAAGAAAAAAAGAATAGGCAGTTACGAAACAAGGACAATGGAAAAAAGATAATGGACATAAAAACTGTGATAATTGAAGGGGGTTTAGGGAGATGGAGTGATGAGTAAACGAAGCACAGGATTTTTAGGGCAGTGAAACTAATTTGCATGATACAATGGTGGATACATGTCACATATTTGTCAAAACTCAGAATGTAAAACAGCAAGAGTAAACCCAGATGTAAATTATGGACTTTGGGTGATAATGATGCATCAACGTAGGTTCGTCAACTGTAACAAATGTGCCACTGTGGATACTGACAGTGGGGGAGGTCGTGCATGTGCCTGGGCAT